CTACACCAGCAACTGCTAATAGTGGAGAACACTACACCAGCATGTGCTAATAGTGGAGAACACTACACCAGCATGTGCTAATAGTGGAGAACACTTTCAGAGAGCGCCAGGTGTGTTCTGATCGTGTAGGGATTGAAAGTGACTTCACAGGGTAAAGCCTGATGTGGTGTGCGAACTACGTCCGCCCCTGCATGGAGAGTTGGTGAGAGTCTATGAACTGTCCCAGGACCACTGAGCCAAGCCACTGGCTCTTCCTCCGAGTATACATCGGACATGGCTTGGGGTAGAGAAATGCATTCTGTTTGAGTAATAAATAGGGACGGTCCTCTGAAGTTAAATCTGGGACTTCTTCACCGGGATCCCACTAACTACAGCCACCTTGGTTGGAGAGTAGCATTTGGTGCAAGGTGGGGCCCCTTGAACCTTGAGGACTATTAGGGACCCAGAAACGAATGGGTCTTCAATGGAAGGAATTTCTCCTGCCCCAGTCCACCCGGGATCCACAGGGACAATCCAGCAGTGACAAGCTGGCACGTCTTGCCCACATCTCCCAGCCCACACCACCCTTGGCCATGCACCAGACCACCACCAGGGGATGAGGGGTGGCTGGACCAAAGGCACCATCGAATGCTTGTGGGAACACGATGGCCGTTTTAAAGGTGTCATTGAGATCCTGCCCTCTTAAGGAATAAAAAGAGATTCAAAGCACTTTACAATAGGGCAATTCGAAGTGAAAACTATATTCAAAACAGATCATTTACCAAGTAGAAAAGAGACAGGAATCCGGGAGAATTTCATTACAGAAATGAAAGGGGCGGGGGTGTACGTGTGCCAGGAGTAAAGCTCCAAGCTGCCTGGGAAGAGTCACCAAGGAGGAGCTGGCATTGTCTGAGGGTAAACCAGCCCCTGCCAGGCTACCTAGAGATGGAGATGCTTCCTGTCCCGAAATCCCAGGGAGATCCACCTCCTTCCAACAGGACAAGAGCTGTGCCTGTGACCAGAGATAACAACCCAAGCCGACCTTGTCCCTCACATGCGGGCCTCCCACTCCGGCTCTCTCACCTGGAAGCAGGACTTGCTACTAAGGATGAACATAGAGTCTTTGGAAATTGTCACAAATCCCCAGTCACACAAGAAACCATAGCAACTAATGATATTTGGGGAGGAGGTGGGAGGTGCTGGGGGGCAGGGGGTGGGGGAGAATGTCAGCACGGGTTAGAGTGCCAGTCCCCAGACCATCTGGTGTCATTTTTCCACCATTTGCATCCAGAAAGCAGCTGCTTCCCAGGCCAGACCTCCAAGAAGGCCCTCGTGGAATTAAGAGCCAAGGGAGGTGCCAGGTAGGAGGCAGCCCGCCCTCTAACAATTACAGCAGTGACTGCAGAGGGGGACGAGTCCAGGTGGAGGGGTGCCCACAGAGACTTAGACGGTGATCTGTTGGTTTTCTCTGAAAAAGGGTCTCTGGTGCGAGGCACAGATCTCCGGGAACATTCGGAAGACAGCGTCTGCCGACGGCTCTTCCGGCACCTGCACCAGCGAGCCCGCGCAGCTCTTCCCGGCCTCCTCCACCAGTTGCCGGGTGTAGAGCTGCTCAACCTGTGGGAGCGTGTGCAGGTCAGGGGAGCAGAGAAGCCAGCCAGCCTCCCGGCTTCCCCAGCCCAAAGCCACTGTCACCCCCGCCAGGTGAGTGCCAACCCAGTGTGTCCAGAGCGCGGGCACAGGAAAGAAGGGTAGTCCGTGCTCCTGCAGAGACCCCGGTGTAACCTCCCTCCCCAACACACACACACACACACACACACACACACACACATACACACACATACATGTGCATACGCACATATACACGAGTACACACATGTACACATGCATAAACACACATGCGTGTATATATATGCATACACACACATATACATACACATACACACATACATATCCAGATACATACACACCTATATGCACATATACATACATATGCACATGCATACACATACACACATGCATACACACACACACATACATTTACACACACACATACACCTGTCTCAGGCTGGCTGGCCCATACCCAGAATTCCACGCTTCGAGTCTGATTCCAGGAAGGACATGTAAAGCACTAATCCATCCATTAGAACTTGAAGCAACTAAATGAGTGGAACCTTGTGGAGAAGACAAATCCTCTCCCATGGTGAGCCTCAGAACATACGGAGCAGAGGGGCTCAGAGGGGTGAGGGTGGCATCCCCTTCTGGGCGGCCTCTAGCCGGGGCAGAAAGCACACTGGGGAGGGCCACCTGGGGGCTGCCTGCCCTCACCTGCACGAGGATGAGCTTGGAGCGCAGAGGGGCCATGTCAGGGAACTCCTCGCCAAAGCACAGCACCACCCTGCTGTCCGGGAGCCGGCCCTGGCTGTTGTAATAGTGCTGCAGCTCTGCAGAGAGACACACCGGGCTTGCACACAGGGCCGGAGCGGGGCGGGGGCCCAGTTCCCACCACCCACCTAGAGGAGGGAGGCCCTGCCAGAGTCAAGCAGGGTCTCACACGGCAGGCCTGAGGGTCAGATGGGAGCCATGCACCTGCTGGATCACCCCCTGCTGCTGTCAAATACTTAGGACGCACTTGGAGCAGTTGCTAACTCTCCCAACAACCCAGCAGTGAAGACACAGGCCCGGGGTGCCTCCGAGTCAGGGCCCAGGGCCAGGTGAGTAGGGCCTGTCCCCCAGGGCTGCCCCTCCAGCCTGCCCACCCCCACCTCAGGGCTCCTTGCTGCCAAGGGTACAGACCTCGGAAGAACAGGCCGGTGTCGAAGACCTTGACCACCTTGTCGCGCTCCAGCTTGTTGGGTCTGTCCTTGCAAGACACCGCGTTGCCGCTGTAAAACACACGGCCCTGGCACTGCCGCTTCACCAGCACGCCCTGCCCGCTGCTCTGCAGGATGACGCCCCGCTCCAGGTGCCCGAAGAGCTTCTGCGTCACCTGCCGCTGCCGCTCGCTGGGGATGACGTCGGCCGGTGGGAAACGGATCAGCTCCAAGCCCTCGGGGGTGTACAGCTTGGTGCCCAGCAGGCTCGGCGGGCTCAGGGAGAGGCGGCAGCCCTTGGGGCAGCTGGTCGTGGCCTGGCCCACCAGCTTGCCGCCGTAGTAGAAGCTGATCACCATCTGGGAGAAGGCTGCGGGACGAGAGGGGGACAAGTGAGGGCCTGGGGGCTCGGCAGCCTTATGTGCAGAATGCCAGAGTCCTCAACACCCTCTGCTGCTCCCCACAGGGATGGAGGCTCGAGTCCTTGCAGAGGCTCCTGTGAAGACGGGCCTTCCGAAAAGCAGCCAGGGCACAGCCTGCAGGGCACAGCCCTGCTGTGACGTGTGGGCCAGGGGCGGGGGCCGGGCGCCAGGTGTCAGCAGCCACTTGATGGCAACTGGATGGTTAAACCCAGGTGGGAATGAAGCTGACGGCCAAAGGGGAGAACCTACCAGCAACATCCTTACTACATCTTTACCACCACCACCCTCAATCTCTGCTATCACGGCCATTACCTTCACCACCACCATCCTCACCTTTATCATCACCATGATCACCATCTCCACCCCTTACCCCCACAATCATCTTAGCCATCGCCAACATTTCTGCTACCGTAGTCTTCGGCATCATCGAAACCACCATCATCATCTTACCATCCTTATCATCACTGCTATTGTAGCCACCATCACCATCACCATCCTCATCCCTTCCAGGAGAACCATCCCTCCACCACCTTCACACACACACCCCACAGACATCAGAGTTGTCATCACCACTGCCATGCTCATCACTCTATCCCAACCATCATGACCACCACCACCACCATCTTCACCACCACCATCGTCCCAACCATCATGACCACCACCACCACCATCTTCACCACCACCATCGTCCCAACCATCATGACCACCACCACCACCATCTTCACCACCACCATCTTCACTATGCTTACCATCAGCATCAATGCTAACAGCACGATCAAAACCCTCCACTGCCATCACCATCATCCCCAGCAGGATGGACAAGTCATTGAGAAACCAGGCTCCTTCCAGGAAGCTGTCATACTCACCACGCCAGGTGAGAGGTGAGGTAGGGGTTACTGACGGCCCCCTTTCAGAAATGAGGAGCCTGAGGTGAGAGGGCCTCACCACCCCCACACTTGGATCACGCCACAAGGATCGAGCTGGGCCACAACCTGTCCCCTTGCTCTCCCTTCCTCGACATAGGAAGACATGCTCCTGGCTTGCTCTGGCGGGACCCCAGGCACAGTGACCGAGCCTCTGCTGCTTGGACTGACCCATAAAGGGGCGCAGCGAGCCAGACCACGTGCTCCCAGACAACAGCGTGGAGTCGAGTCCCTCGTTTCCGATGCCTAACTGAGCTCGCACAGAGATTTCCGTAACCCCGCCCACACCACTCGGACCCCTGCCATCCCCAGCCCTGCCCCAGGACTTCCATACCTGAGTGGTGGGTGTCGTAGGCAGAGTACCCCGTCACCAGAGGCAAAGCTGCTGGAGGAAGAGACAAGCCAATGGAGACTGCCCCAGCTGCTCTGCAGGGAGGGAGCCCCCCAACCCCCCTTCTCCAAGAGCTGCTTCAGCAACCACAGATGCTTGGAGGAGTTCGCTGTAGCCCTGTTCCCCATTCCCAGGAATGAGGGGGACGGGGCCCACTCTCATCTGACAGCCGCCCCCCCCCCTCCGGAGGGCAATGGGGTGGGGGCACAGGGCCCTCCTGGTCAGGTCCACGTCTCCAGCAACCCCAGACCAGTCACCCCAATGAAACAGCCCTGGGAGCAGCGGGGAGGGTGCGCCCCAGCATGGGCAACGGATGGAGCAGGCGAGGGCCACGGACACTCACCTGGGCCAGCTTGCTGTGCCCACCAGTCGGGGAGGAACTGGCTCCTGCAGGCCTCGGGCGGGGAAGGGCTCCGCTTGATCATGCCCATGTAGTCGTCCACGGAAGGCTAGGGGTGAGAGAAGGGCCACTGTCACCACCTTGTCCTGAACAAGCCCATGCCAAAAGCCAAACTTACAGGCATCGAGTCAACCCCACCTCACAGCAAACCTGCTGGGCAGGTCGGCACTGCCCCTGGGGTTTCTGAAGCCGCCACTCTTTGCTGGGATGGGAGAAAGCCTCCTTTTTCTCCCTCAGAGCAGCTGGTGGTTTAGAACTGCTCACTGACTCCATGATCCATAGCCCATCATGTAAGCCACAGGGCCACCAGGGCTCCTTGTGTGCCCAGCAGAGGCAAGATCCACGGGCTGCGTCCACAACGGCAGCCACAGACCCACTGGCGGACAGCTAACACTCCAGGTGGGGTCTGAGGCCGACGAGCAGCTGTTGGCCGTGTCGGGACAGGGGTGGCCCCAGAGGCAGTGGCCATTTGAGGGGTCAGCCCATCCCTTGCATATCCCCGAGCAACACAGGGGCACCGGCCTTGGCTCCTGGAGACCCCGCATGGGCCAGGGGAGAGCCAGGCTCCAGGGTCTCCAGGGGCTGGCCTTTCAGAAGCAGGTCACAGGGCCTTTCTTCTGACGCATGCTGAGGTGGCCTTGACCCTGCAGCCTTGGCTGCTGGGACGCCCGCCCGTCGGGAGCGGTGGAGGCACGCTCCAGGGAAAGCTTAGCAGGGCGGCACGGCTCCTTCCCAAAATCCACGTGGCCTCCGGGGCCAGGTGAGACCCAGGCAAGTGACCTCTGCTCACCTCCTTAACGAGGTCATCCATCTCAGGTCGTCCACTCTCCATCTCGGCAACCTCGCTCACACAGCCGGGGACCACCACACCCAGTTTGCCTGCAGAGGGAGACCCCGGCAGAGAGAAGCTGTGACAAACAGCCCTTGGATAGGGCTGGGGGTGGGGGGGAGGGTCTGGCGCGCGCGGAAACCCAACCACGGCCGAACCCTATTGACGCTGGTTGCTCGGGCTGTGTGCTTGAGGGAAGCGGAGCAGGCCAGCGACCTGCCTGCTTTGGGAACAACCCCAACTTTTCCTTCCCACGCGCCAGTCATCAGCTCAGCAGGCCAAAAGGGAGAAGTTGGCTGTTGTTTTTTAATGTTGTGCTATGTGTGTGCGTGTGCGTGTGTGTGTGTTTCTTTTCCCCTGAGACTTCCAAAGGGAAGAGTAGTGCCTTAGTCTCTTGCTTCTGTTTGTTGAGGTGGACACTACATCTTGACCAAGGACGACTTGGCAGTGAGCGGTCACTGCCTGGCAGAAAGATTGTCTGCTCCTATAAAGATCAGCAGGAACCCGATGGAGCACCTCTCTGAACTGGCATCGACTCCTGACCCAGGCTCCTACGGGCGGCCGCATAAGAGCGGGTCTTTCTGTCTTCCCTGTGGGGTGTGTGGTGAAGCCCTGGGTTGTGTGTTGGGCCACCCTCCACAATGTCAGCGGTTCAAACCCACCAGCCACTCTTTAGGAGAATGATGAGGCTGTCTGCTCCCTTAGAGGTGCACAGCCTGCTGAACCCACCAGGGCAGTTGACCCTGCCCTCTCGGGTGGAATCGGCTGAAGGTAGTGAGAGCGGGCGGTGAGGCATGCATGCAAATACACAGCGTACATTTGGAAAGGCCGAAGAGAGACTTCCTGCCCACCCAACTTGACAAAAGGACCCCAGCCTGCAGACACCCCCCTTGCCGGGACGCTTTGAGCGCCGTCAGAAGGAACGCTGGCAGTGACTGGAGATCCCCACCACAATGACAGGCTTGGGGACCCACCGGCCGTTCCCTTCCCCTGACGTAAAGGGCTGCTAGGAGTCAGATGTAATTCCCCGGCAAGCACGCTGTTCCCATCGATACAAGTGCGTGGAGAGAAAGCGAGCCGTACCAGTATGTACTCTGATTCAGGCGTCCTCAAACTGCGGCCCGCGGGTCCCATGCGGCCCGCTGAGGACATTTATCCGGCCCGCCAGGTGTTTTTGCCCCATTTGTTTTTTTACTTCAAAATAAGATATGTGCAGTGTGCATAGGAATT